CCTTCCCGCTGCTGTCGCCGCTGGAAGAGGCCTCGGCCTTCCGACCCCTGGAGCGCGGGCTGCCCGGCGCCGCGCTGCCGCCCGGCCGCTACCCGCCGCTGCCCGGCGGCGCGCTGGAGCGGTTCGCTCTGCCGCCCTTCGAGGGGCTGAAGGCGTACGCGGGGGAGTGCGGACTGCCCGTGATGCCGCTCACCGTGTACGGCGGGGAGCTGTTGTACGGCGCCGCGCCCTACTACCCGCTGAAGCTGCACCTGGGCGGGTTGCTCAAGTACCCCGAGGCCGTGCCGTACTTCGGCGGGCCGGCCGCCGGGCTGCACGCCGCAGAGCTGGGCTCGCTGGCCGGCATCGACCGCGAGATCGCCATGCACACGCAGCAGCTCTCCGAGCTGGCGGCCGAGAAGGGGCGCGGACGGCTGGAGGCGCTGCCCGCGGGAGCGGCGGGGGCGGCGGGCGGCAAAGCCAAGGCCGGGCACCTGTGCCTGTACTGCGGCAAGCTGTACTCCCGCAAGTACGGGCTGAAGATCCACATGCGGACTCACACCGGCTACAAGCCGCTCAAGTGCAAGGTGTGCCTGCGGCCCTTCGGGGACCCCAGCAACCTCAACAAGCACATCCGTCTGCACGCCGAGGGCAACACGCCCTACCGCTGCGAGTACTGCGGCAAGGTGCTGGTGCGGCGCCGCGACCTGGAGCGGCACGTCAAATCCCGGCACCCGGGGCAGGGCCTCGGCAAGGTGGCCGAGGAGCGCAGTGACTCTGGCTACGCGCCTGCCGAGCGCGACCAAAAGACTGACAACGAGAGCGACGTGGACGTCTGCTTCACCGACGACCAGAGCGAGCCCGAGAGCGGCGGCAGGACCCGGCAGCAGTAGTGCCGACAGCCCCCGGTGCTCTGGGGCGGGGCCGAGCCCCGGCTCCCGGTGCAGCCCCGGTGCGCGGCCCGAGCGACGCGCACCGCCCCTCGCTGCTGTACCGCCGCCTGGAGGAAATTGTGCCTTTGGGGAACGGCTCTTCTCTGCGTCCTCTCCTCCCGCGGGTTCCGGAGGCAGGAGTCGCGGTGCCGGCTCTGCAGCGCCGCTGTGGGCTCCGCCGCGGTGCTCGGGTCCCGACGGAGCGGCATTGCTGCGATTACGGTGGGCGAATACCGACAGCTGTCTGGGGAAAAAACAGCGAAGGCGAAAACTAGGGAGAGAAAAGGCAGCAAAAAGCCCCACTCGTAGCACTGGAGAGGTCCGCACGTAGCAGGTGCACCATCTGATCGAGTGGCAGTTATTTATAAGAGATAATATTTGCGGAACAAATGTAAAATAAATATCGAGAAGCATGAATCTAAAGCACGCACTATATCATTTCAAAGGAAATACACACTCTCTGTTTGGTAGAATACAACTGTGCTGTATGTTTGTTTTTTAACGAATGATGTACAGTGGAAGCAGTATTTCGGTTCTGGTTCCGGTTTGTCATGCCAGTATTTTTATTTCTTTTCTTTTCTTTCTTTTTTTTTTTTTTTTTTTTTTTTATTAAAATAAATTTGAAGGCAAAGTACTGTCCGTGCTGTCAGTGAGGTCTCTGTGTAACGCCCCGAGGGGGCAGGTCGGCTGAACTCCCGAACGCAGCCTCCTTGGGTCGGGCGTTACCCGCCCATTGGCCATGAATGATTTCTCCGAATATTTTCGTTCCGTCACCCGGAAAAACAAAAGAGTAAACCTGCTCGATTCGTTTTTCTCTATGCTCACGGCTCGAATATATGTGTATATAATACACATATATATATATATAATTTGAGCAAAGTCTGTGCGGAGATGCTAAGGGCTCCGTGCCATCAGTTTGCTTTGCCCATTAGTGATCTGTGAAACCTGCAAAAAAAAACAACCCTTAGAACCGCTGTTGGTATGATCATCCGTCAACTTGTGCCTCCCTTGGGTGGGAATCCGGCAACGCGCTCAGCTAAAACTGTCGAGAATTCTCTGTTCTATGTAAATCCCGCTGCCCCCGGGCAGCTGACGAACCTTCGCTACCCATTCGGACATCATGAGCCCGTGAGTTCCTGGCGCCGGGCCCTATTTCAGCCCAGGCTGAGGTGACGCAAACACGAATTGCTCCCATCGGGTGAGGGAATCCCAGCTGCAGACGGACTCCCCCTTTGCTCGCAGAGAGCTAAACATGCCCAACAGCAATAGGAAATGAAAACTCACATGCTGGGCTTGGATTCCATATAGAGGTTTTAGTTAGAAAAGCCGTAGGATTTAGGATTTTTTGTTTGTTTGGGCTGGACACCCACCTACTCACTATATACCCACCGGGGCGCCGGACCGACGCTCTGCCCCGAGCACTCCGGGCAGCGCAGGGTCCCGCCACCGCCACCGCCCCGTCCGAGCTCTGGGTCCCGCTACGGCACCGACGGCGGCAGCCGCATTCGGGCGGCCCGGGCTGCGTGCCGATATGTGCCTGCCCTGCCCCCGAAGGGAGCACCCCGCCTCGATCACGCGTCACGCTCGCCGTGGCGTCACACCGGTGACATCAGAGCAGCGCAGTGCCCGGCTGCCCACGCTGCGAGCAGGATCTGTCCAGCAAAAAATCGGTGCTGTCCGCGAGCTCGGGAGCGCAGCCGGTAAAACCAACAGCAACCACCCTGCGTGAAAGGGCGAGAAGAGACAAAGGCGGCCCGGGGCGCGTCCGCGCGGGAGAGGAGATGCAGGTCGGAGGCATCTTCCAATACGGAGAAAAGAATTCTCCACTTTCACGGGAAAAAGAGAGCTTTTTGAGTGAGAAATAAACGCTATTTTGATCCAAACGTTTTCTTCTTTGTCAAGTCTAGGCGGAAAGAATGATGGTGAGGCTGGAGAAAAATCCTCCTTTAAAATATCACTGATTGAATATCGCTCATTTGTCTGCTCAAGGGCCGTGGAGATTAATTGTGGGGCTTCCATGTTTTGTTTTTCAATGGGAGAGCTCAGAGGTTCTCAGAGTACAATCGAACAAAGAACGACGCAATGCTCCGTTTTCGAGTGAACCATGGAACATGACGTGCTTGTTGGATGTTGTGAGCAAGGAGGGGTGCACACACCGGGATGGCATTCAGACATAAATAGAAACGAATATAAATGCTTTAGAAAACAGCGTTTGAGTGCTCCCCAAAATCATTTAAGATTTGTTGAACTCTTTGACATACGGGTGGCAAAGTATAAGTGACAAAAGAGGTGGATGTAGCCTGCTGTACTGCAGATGAGTTCAGGTGCAGGGCTGGGAGCTGGTGCAGCTCTCAGGGAGGATTCGATCACTTCTGAGCAAGGCAGCAGCTTGGCACACACAGAGGGATGTGTTTTCAAAGCCTTTTGCACTATTGCCCATGTCTAAATTCACCTGCACAGAGGAGATCTGATCAGAAAGCTCTGAGCCTTATGCTGCTGCAGGTATGAAGATGTGAGTGTTTTTTTAAGGGTGTCTTTCCAAGGATGCAGTTCTGAAGCAGCCAAGAAACAAAATCTAGGCTCAGAAAAGCCTCTAAGTTGATTTACGTACATAAATACTGGCCACGTTTCCGTAGAACTGTTTTCTGCTTTAACTGAAAGTTGAATGCTTGGAAATGTGCTTTGAACTTGTTGATTTGTCTCTAGGTTCTATTTCCAATATTAAATAGTCTTCAAATTCATACCTGATGGACTGAGCAGAAAGCTGTGGGTTCAGACTGCCTGTACGACAGGGAGACGTGGGGAAGGGAGAAAATCTGTGCGTGACTTCATGTCAGGGAAGGGAGAAGCTCAGGGATTGTTTGTGATCTTCTCGTTTTTCTCCAAACTGTCTGAAAAGAATGATCTTAAGCTTGGCTGAGAGCAGTTACCTCCCGAATTATCACCTGGAGGTAAAGAGCAGCATGTCAAGGCCAGGTTCAAGCTTGCTGGGGTTATTGGACCATAGCAGATAAAATCTGGGAACAGCAAAATGCTTTCAGGTATATTCAAAGTCAGTCCAATGAGGAATGATTCCCTACAGCATGTCGGATGCTATAACCTTGTATTTTTCAGGAAATAGGAGGTGGAAGATTCTTTGCAACTGAAAAACACAGTAGAAGAAGTAGATTAGGAGATCTGAGGCATGTATTCAGCTACGTTTAGCACTGATATTATGAAATGTTATGGAACACTGAGCAAAGTTCACAAGTTCTTTCTGTAGACCTGCACCTGAACATGTTATTTTTTGTGTTTCATGTTTCACACACATGTATATTTATCTTCCTTGTTCTACCACATACTATTCTATTCCCAGGATATTTTCCAGTCAGGGCTTGGATCTGTATTCTTTTTTAGAAAATAAGGACTGCTTGCCTCTGATCAGAGCAATTTGGAACCAGGTGATTTGAAGTCCTGTTTTGAAATGGGGAAAATGTGAATTAGAAAAGCAATGTCAACAAATTACGGTTGGTTCCGTGTTCTAAGAAGTAATTAATAGCTTCCCCCCAACGCCCCTTTCCTTCAGTTTGCATCTTTTAAGCCTCACAGCAAACAAATAAACAGCTGCAAGGAGAAAGCATTAGGAAGGAAGGGTAGAGGCAGAGTTGGGGAAGAGATGCTGTTCTGCACCCCTCATACGGCTGTGTGAGGTGTAAAACCTGCTGGGGAAGTTCACGTCGAAGCAAATCTCTGGTTCTTGTAGTGTGAGCAATGTGCTTTAGCTCTAGTCGAGAAATTGAAGTACAAAAAAATGCATTTCAGCTCTGAGCCCTGCAGATCTCTGCTCTAAACTATGCAGCAGCTCACAAAGCGAAACAAAGCTAAACAAAGCAGGACAAAACAAAACAAAACAAGAAAAAGGCAGTGCATTTTTGAGTATATTGATTGAAAAGCCGAAGAGGCTGGGTACTTCAGGGTTCTCAGAGGTACTTCACCTGCCAGCTACTGCGCAGGGCTAAAGAACCCTTCTAAGAATGCCCATTTGCAGCTAAGCAGCAGTTTAAGATTGTGGACAAATAGCTCTGCAATGATGTCTGGCCTACAGCCCATCCTTTTTTTTTTTTTTTTTTTCTCATCAATAGAGAAGGCCTTTGTAGAAATGAGCAAAACAGACATTTCTGGCTGTGAGAAAGAACAGTGGGGATCGCTTTCTGCCTGTGCTGAGAGCTGAGGCAGGATTGAGGCTGGGGCTCATGGCTCCCCATGGCCCACGATGGGAGCTGCTGTGGGGTCATAGCCTATGCAGAAATCTACTTCAGCTCTGCATAGGGCAGAATTCATCACATCAGTGCACTGATGTGTTGTGGGCTGTTTTGCTTTCCTTCTTTTCTGTTTTTAAAACAGAATCTCAACCTGATGTCCCCGTGGTCTGTATTGTTGACAGCCAAGTAGCAAAGACTGATGTCTTCTGGACAAAGCAGAATCATTTTTCAGTGTGCTGGTGTGAGAAACTTAAGAAGATGTAAACAAGTTTGCCACATTAAGTGATTTCAGTATTTCCATAGCAGACTGTTTGTTAAAGCCAAATGAGACAGCTTAGCTGCTGGAGAATTTGAGTGAAAGGTAAGTGACTGAATGAGTAAACTGTAGTGGTAAGTGGGGGAAATAAGGCACTTATGCTTGGTTTTTCAGGGCAGCCTGTACTAATTTTAGAATATTTGTCATGATTGCCCAGGAACTATAGAGTGAGATAAAAACAGTTAGAATTTCAGTGATCTTGTCTTTATTTGGGGGCAATAAATCAGAAGAAAATGCATAACTTTTGTTCCTGAATTAAAGGCATCTCATGCTTTTGTCATAGCTAATAAAAAAAACAAAAAAACCAAAACAAACTATTGTCAAGATATGTGTATAAACAGTGGAAAAATGTGATTAATAAATTAAAAGAAGAAACAACCTCTGTACAACATGCAGGGAACTTT